TATGAGGTTATTATTTTTTTGCGAGCTCGCCTGCATTAGCATAGCTGCGAGTAGCACGTGCCATTTCTGCCGCTATAAAAACGACGGATATTCTCTCATGGCATGGATGTCAGAGAAATCGTGTAGAGAAAGAGAAAGAGAGAAACTATCTTATCCGCGACGGTGTACAATGAATGAACGTGTCGTGATACTTGCTTTACCGTACGTATCAATGAACGTCTTTAATGGACCGCACTTTTGACAGAAATTCTTAACTATTCAGAGAAAGTAGTACAAGTTGCAACTCGAAAGTGTCGTCCTGGAATGCAATGTTAAATGGTATAGCCTGTCTACTGATTCGAAATATTTTGCCGAGGATTATTAATGCATCATTCTCTTCATATTTGGACTTTATTCCTGCTCTTTGTTCGAGAATGTTAATTATTCTTTTGACTCTTTGGACTCGCGCTGATAAAATTGTAATAGCCTGACATATTTCTTCTATCTTTTATATCATTTCCTCTCTTTCTTGAAATGCTTCTAATTTATTTCTAACAATTTTAATAAAATAATGTGCGGACGATAGTTAGTTCAAGTAAAAGGGACAGCATTTTTAGCTATTTTTTTTTACGGTACATTGTTATCTAATATTTAAATCTTATGTTCTACTAGCGTTATCACGTAAACTTTTGAATCACGATAACGCAACGAGGCTTTTAAAACATCGTTTCCTGGGCGTGAATTCCGACGCGAAATTCTCGGTTGATTCGAGTAAGTTGTTTTATAATTGAATTAGTGCGCTGTCTACCTTTATCGAGTTAAAATAATCTCGAGAAGAGAGAGCCGAGCGACTAAACTCGTCTTCTTGGATAAAATTTGATGAAATAGTTTTGTGGTAGCTGAGGAAGATCCGTCCGTTTTGAAAATAACGCGTCTAAGAGTTTTATTTTTAGGACATGTGGGGCGAATCATACTTTTAATAAATAATCTCTTCTAGTCTTCTGCATGTCGAAGCTTTCTGTAGGAATGAGAATTTTCCATAAAATAATAATAGAGTAGAGTATGTGCTCTGAAATTATTCGTGAAAATTTATCAGTCTGCTCTGAATTCTATTTTCTCGCGTGTCTATTTTAGGAATTTTTACTAAAAATTTTATTTTGCATTTCGAATCTTATTATTTATAGTTTAGCGAATATTAAATGTCGGCTGCGACATAGATAAAATAAATTTTGTCATTGATTTTTTCTTTACTATGCAAATAGAAATGCAAATAACGGGCTGTTGTATGAAATAATTTTTATTCTGAGTACGTGGAAAAAAAAATAAATGTGTACTTATCATTTTTAATTTGTCAAGCTTAATTTATATATCGTATATTTCTCTATCGGTTGTATCATTGAAACAGATGAAACTCTACAATGCTTTCAATGTTCTTCTTAATTCTATCGTAGCTGTAAGGCTTGAAATGAAATCATTGTACGTCACTAATAGAAACGGAATCGATGGCACAATATATCGATTGTTTACATATTCACAAATCCTTCATTGTTCGAGCAACTACGTCACGTCCGACTTTATTAATATGTTGATTTCTGCTCATGATAATCTTTTCTTCGAAACTAACGCGAAGAGAGCTTTCATTAATCGATTATTCTTTTGCGGCAAAGTAAAACAGAAGAAGATCGGATCTTAAGGAATTTACATTGCTCTCATCTTATTAGCTTTAAGAAAGACGACTGTAAATTGTACTTTGTGGCACTTAATCTTCATTTGCATTTCTCTTGCTCCAAGACCGTTAAGAAACTCACGACAATGTAGTGATAATGTAGCTTCTTTTAAGTCTACTTGCAAGCGTGTTATCTTTGGATATCGGATAATATTATTATAATTTAACAAATTTTAGCTAATTAAAAGTTTTCTTACACGCGAAAACTATTCGATAAACTAAACGATATTTGTAGCGCGCAACTTTCCCGGAATAATTATAGAATAATATTAATATTGTAATAAACTGTCTCATTATGCCGAAGCATGTTGGTATTTACGAAGTTGCAATTATGATTAGTATTTTGAATTTGTATTGTAATTTATAATTAATATATGCAATGAACAAAATTCCATGATGATATGATATTTAATATGCTTGCTGAAATAAGTTTTGAATAGTTACATTTCGGAATTTTGGGG